ATAAAATAAAATAAAATAAAATAAAATAAAATAAAATAAAATAAAATAAAATAAAATAAAATAAAATAAAATAAAATAAAATAAAATAAAATAAAATAAAATAAAATAAAATAAAATAAAATAAAATAAAATAAAATAAAATAAAATAAAATAAAATAAAATAAAATAAAATAAAATAAAATAAAATAAAATAAAATAAAATAAAATAAAATAAAATAAAATAAAATAAAATAAAATAAAATAAAATAAAATAAAATAAAATAAAATAAAATAAAATAAAATAAAATAAAATAAAATAAAATAAAATAAAATAAAATAAAATAAAATAAAATAAAATAAAATAAAATAAAATAAAATAAAATAAAATAAAATAAAATAAAATAAAATAAAATAAAATAAAATAAAATAAAATAAAATAAAATAAAATAAAATAAAATAAAATAAAATAAAATAAAATAAAATAAAATAAAATAAAATAAAATAAAATAAAATAAAATAAAATAAAATAAAATAAAATAAAATAAAATAAAATAAAATAAAATAAAATAAAATAAAATAAAATAAAATAAAATAAAATAAAATAAAATAAAATAAAATAAAATAAAATAAAATAAAATAAAATAAAATAAAATAAAATAAAACAAAATAAAATATTTTTTATACACTAAATTAAAATATAATAAAATGAAATGTAATAAAATAAATTAGAAAACTAAAATAAACAAAAATAGAAGAAATGGAAAGAAATGAAACGAAATTAAATAAAATTAAGTGAAATAAATTAAAATAAAATTGAATTTAACTTTGACAATTAAAGTAAATTCAAATAAAGTAATGTGAAAAGAAACATAATGAAAAAATAAAAATAAAAATTTATATAAATTTATATCATATAATTGATTTTAAATTAAATTAAATTAAATTAATTAAATGAAAAAAAACAATACAAAAAATTAAATAAAATAAAGTATATTAAGTTAGACGATATAAACGAAAAATTAGCTTAAAAAATACAGAAATTTAATTGAATGTTAATGAATACAATAAAATGAAGTCAGTTCGAAAACAATGCTGTCATGCGGGTTAAGCCTAATGTTTTTTACTTTGAAATTTTCGTCTTTATTCTGTTAGCTTGTCGTCGTTGACATGCGTCAAAAATAAAACTCAAATTTGTTTTTTTATTTGTAAGAATTTTACCTATCATCTGCTTGTCATGTGCTATGTGATGTGATGATGACACAACACACATAAAGCGAAGACGCGCAAAGATGCAGATTGGAGTACAATCGTAATATTTATTATTAATGTCAAGATTGTTTGATGAGAAAATTTTTTTTTAACTTTAATTTTTAAATTTGAATTTGAATTAGGTTCATATTTTGACTGTCTTCGACAACACCAACAGCACACACAACTAGCTTAACATTATTCTCCTTCAGCATATGAAGCAACTTTTCAAACCATTGAATTAAATAAATTTCAATAAAATACGGTAGTCCTGCCTCTATGGCGGAACTTAAGTTTTCATACCATAATGGACCTTCCCAACATTGCCCAGTCTCAACGATTTATAACGACAAATTATATGTAAGTTTAATTTATTAATTCCGACATCCTCTTGACCACTTACAACCATTTATTGGTTGTTTTGCTTTTACACTCTTTATATTAAGTCGTTTGGCCAACGTAAGCCTGACCTTTGTCCTTCTTAGTGGAAATGTGTGGAAATACACAATCGCTTTTGCCAAGTCCATTGAAAAATTGAATAAATGTCAAAGATAAAGTGTAAAATATTTAATAAATGTTCAGAAAGAAAGAAATAAAAATGAAAAGTATATACATACATATATATATGTTTATTCATGCACTTGAGTGTACATTATGCTTGTATTTATATGAATAATATTATTGTACATTTACATAATCTGCATACACTTATGCATGTAAGTATATGCAAACATCTTCATGTGCATATGCCAGTATGTAGAGCTGCATCTATTTAACACACTTACAAACACATACATACGTGTATGCATGTGTGAGTTTTTTTGTGCAGATATTTGCACGTCATTTTCACTATAAACTGCTCGTCTTGGCTGGGGCTTCCTTCCGTGCGGTGAAAACGAAACCGTTCCTGTACTCCTCCTGCAAATATGCAATACTCTTTGTGGCTGAAAAATGATATTGTTGATGTTATTGTCACTAGCAGCTGACAGGGAAAAACATAAACCAGAAACTACCGCACTTATGGGGTAGCAGTTTCAGCGCGTGTTCATTTTTCTTGATTTTTTCATTCTTTTTTCTTTTTTTTTTGCTTTATTGCACATTCAGGATATGCGATATCATTGATGTTTCCCGGTAATTTTCCGCATTGTATAGTTTTAAGCAGATTAAGAGCCACAACAATAACAACAACCCGGGCAGCAAAAACAACAGAAAAAAAAACAACAACATTAATTATCATTCAAGGCGAGGCCTGTAGCGTACATCAAAGTCGAATAGTTGATATTGCCGCAGCGTGTTGACAATGACACTAAGGCAACACAATACAGAGATGAGCTAGTATGCACACGTCCACACATACACATATACGTTTAAACAAACAAAACACCCCAAGTAAACAATATTAAGCAGAAACACTGGATAGTTATAAGGTCCATTGCCGACTTGCCGGTCCGTTGTAAGGTTATCGCCTTGGCTTTGGTGTCTCCAACTTTATTACAGCCACCTTTTCAATGGAATCATTGTTGTTGTTAGCTAGTTCAAAGTGTGCTAATCTGTAGGTGTGTAGCTGCATTCAACTGTGGCCGGTTTAATTGCAAGGAATGGCAGCGGAATGTCGCATGTAGGTGAAGCAAAAGTGAGCTTTAGGTTGCTGATTTTAATTGCAGGGGATGCTGCTATGACAACTCAGCATTTTTCTTCAATTAAAATCTCTAATTGTGCCATTTAATTCATTTGTAATAGCCATTACCTTGACACTCTAATTATAAAAGAAACTTACTATTACTTGATACTCATCTTGCTACCCGGAAGACTTTCGACTCTGGCTCTTCCTTATTGAAACTTGGAATGAATTACTTTTAAATGCCGAAACAGTATGGAGCAAATGCGGCTTAAAAGTTCTGATTGAGCTAAAATGTGTTCATTTTAATTTTTTTTCTCAAGAAGGAGTTCATTTTTAAGCACCGTTAACCACCAAACTTCTCCATCTCCTTCACTGGATGAAGCAATTGTAAAATTGTACTATTGCAAGATTCAAACTGTTGGAAGATTCGTTAGAATTTAGTGACATTCCTATCTTGAATTCGTACGAAAGAGTGTAAAACTAATTGAAACCACGATCGGGTTTTGCAAAATGAACCGTTATATCTATTTGTAGTCACCCTTTCTCATGGCATATCCAATAATACAAATGGAACTCCTTCTGTAGGCGCCTTCTGACCCTACATGCCACTCAAAACATTGGTCAGAGAGTAGATTTCGATGAAATTTGACACTTATTGTTTCCATGTTTTATTATTACGAGTTTGTAATGGGTGCAGTCGGTATGTACCTACACATTAGCTGAGACCTTTGATCAGGGTCGAGTCCTCCAAACTCACTTGGTGATAAAAGTAATTGGTCGTGAAACATACAGCGGAGAGAGCGGCGACACTAAACAATACCTGAGATGGGTAAATACTCAAATTTTGAGAAACGTTTACGGTGGACCAAAGATTGTTTCATTTGGACAGCCCTTTTCGGCTGCTACTGTCTATTTGAAGTACCGTGTGACCAAGCGATACAAAAGAATGAAGAGAACCCACGCTTTGCAGTACCCGTTGCTGCGCTTGGTTTTACTCTCGCGAGTGGGTGCCATCCGCATGACAAAACGCAATGTTTTTTCGAACCGACCTCAAGGAGGAAAATCACTTTTCAACAACTTTGCATGCGCCAAACAAAATTTTTTAAAACAAAAAGGATAAATATGTATATTCCATTATATCAGAGTAGATTTGATACATCGTCTTCCAAATTATCGAGCGATGTTGCAGGAATAGGGTGTCATGGTGATATCTAGTTCAAGCTAAAGAAATTTGTACCCTTTCCAAATTATAGCTACATATTGCCGGCTGCTGCGATAGCCCGGTGATTTGCATTGCGTACCGTTATTCTAAAGGACAAGGTTCGGAGTCCTGGTTCGAAGTGTTGAAAGGGAAAGTCAAGCCCTCCGAGTGAATTCCTGATACGAAATAAAAGCTGTATTCTCTTAGAGCCTTTGACTCCTTCATCACAACTAACTAAAGACTTATCCAACGCTGCTGCGTCTTTAATACCTGTGCCGATATTAACCAATCAAAGCTTCTTACCGCTCCCAGAAATCCGGCCGCCTTACGGAATCTCCCAGTAATATCCTATCTTTTGGCAACTAAAGCTAGCGGTATCAATTTTTACATAGACATGGGTGTCTTATGTTTAATTTTCGAAAAATAGATTCCGATTCTTTCGCAAATGTAAATGACTTCTCCCAGTCCTTGGAAACCTAAAATCGTGCGTTTTAAATTTTATTCCAATGGATTGTATGAACTATACCGTTGATTCAAAAAGAAAAAAAGTAATGAAAATCGTTGAAACTTCTTTTGTGATCGAAAAATATCCAACTCTTTTTTTTCTTTGGCTGACTTCAGACAGTATCTCATTGCAGCAATTAACAACAATTTCAAGAACTCGAAACCAAACTCAGCCGCCACTATGTTTGGTGGCAATTTTTTTGCCCTGGGCAAAAATTTCGCTCTATAAAAGAGTAGAGCACGCGCTCTTCATTTGTGAATTCACCACATTTGAAGAGAGAAAACGTTATATTTATTGAATTAAGTAAGCACGTATGTATATTCTTTTACGTAATGGCTACAGCTAACAAACACTCTACACTCACCACCGGAGGCTCAATGTTTTCCACATAAAATACCCGGACGCTTAGCAGATTGCTTAGTAGCCGATAAGGAAGCAGCCAGGATAGTACGAAGCTACGCGAAGACGCGCTCAAGACTGTTTGTGGGAATAAAGCAAAAAAAAAAAAATAAAAGAAAATAAAAATAAAAATAAAACAAACGCGCGCGCTCCTTTGACTCTTCACTCGAACCTACTATACGCCAACACTTGTGTGCGAGCAGTGAAGTTAGAAGTGGTGTTACTTCAGGGATATATATATATATATATGTACATACTTAAGGGACACATGCACATATTAAAACTTAACGCGATGTGAGCAATACATGTACACAAATGTATGTGCGTACATATGTGGTAAGCCACAGCGTAATGGTTGTTTTGAATTGAAATCGCAGTGCAGGCAAAAGAGAGTAGCAACACTCCTTTAAAAACAACTCGTTGAAGGCAGAACTGAATAATCAGCAGAAAGGAAAATGTGTGGAAAACACAAAAAGTGAAAAACAAAACAAAGTGTAAAATAAACAAAACCAAAACAAGCCAAAGAATAGTGAAATATACTCACCAACAACTAAGGATTTGCGAAAATTCTTCCTTTTTTTCCTCAGTCTTTGTCATTTGTAGCGCTCGTAGTGCGGCAGCGACGCAAAAAAGGTAAAAAGGAGTAAGTGAAAGTTTAGGGCACACAACTTGTGAAGGGATAATTGCAATTTGTTTGCATGTAAATGTATGTACATATGTATTTTACACTCTGATGGGCGTGAGTTCATTGACTGAAAGGAGGTGAAAAGCTGCGAAAAAATGCTTCGTTGCCTTTGTGCCTTCTTTTCACTAGTGCCCAACTTCCTGTTTGACTGAATGCATGACTCTATGACTGCATGACTGCGTGAGTGAGTGAATGGGTATGACTCAGTGTGAATGTCAACAAATATTCATAATTAATGCAATGTTTATTTATTTACTATGTTTGTAAATGTGTGTGTGTGCGTTTATTTGTTTATTGCCAAATTTAATAAGTGAGTTTTGAAATTTTTTGCGCGATTTTCAATGTTCCGTCTTCAATTAATTGATGCAAAAGTTTCTTAAATTTTGGAGAAATTAATTAGTCTTAATTACGGAAGGCCACGGAAGGGTAACAAATGATCGAGTGAATGAAGACAATTTATTTTAAAGAAATAATTTTAGCTCAAACTTCTGGTTTGGTTAAATTTCACCCATCGGTTTTGTTAATGATAAAAATAAGTAATAAATTCGGTGTAGTGTTTTGTATGCTTCGTGCGACATTGCGTATACGTAACTTACCTTTGGTTTTACATATCAATGTGTATATAACTTCTGTGTTCCTCGTAATATTCATTTCATTTAACTTTCCTCCGTTTCGCTGATAAATTCTTCATCACAAGGAAGTACTGAGGAATCTTTTGCAGCGGAGGATGAGTAAGATCAAACCTATGTCACGGCAAGGAAGAGCCCATTATCTCCATTCCGACGTGTTTCGTTTACTAGAGGGGAAACTATATTTTTATGCCTTAAACTAAACGGTTTGTCTGCAGCACCATACCAGTAGCACCTGCTCAACTGTTGAGTCAAATAGCTACTTTTTCAATGAAGTCGCCCATATAGCGTCGTTACAAATAGCAAATATAATACTGCGTGAGAAAATATGAGAAATAATTCAAGTCTAATATGAGGGTAACTGGCCAAGGCGTGCTTTCTGATAATTAGAACGTGAGACGCGAAAAATGTTTTCTTTGATAATTTGTCTCAAAATAAGCTGATGTTAGCGTTGTCAAATGATGACCTTGATGACATGAGGACATGATGGCATGATCACGCTGTCGAAACCAATAAGAGCAAGTAAACACCGCTTATAGGATTACAGCCGAGTTAGCAACATAAATACCGAGTACACTCTCACTACCTGATTATACCAATAGAGTAAGAGGAAGCATCTGCTTCCACCGGCGGGTACTGCATCGAAAACTATCAAAACTGGCGAATTCTTATCCATCTGGACCACATGACCGAGCTGGCGCAGCCGCTTTTTCCTGATTCTTTGAACTATGATCCAATGTCACTGTAAATCTAGAGCAGCACGTCGTTACATCTTCAACTTCTAACTTCTAACGCCGACTCATCAGATGTTATCATCGTAAAGGCCTCCGCAGCTTATAGCAGGTCGGGAATGGTGAATGATATGTGAAGTTCACATGCAAAGAAATCACTTTGCCGGAAAACTCGTTTGGTATTGAGCTGATGGAAGTGATGCTTGACATCAGTTTACATAGCCGTAAACGTGGTGGGTGTGCATCGATCCACTTCTTTTCCAAAATTTTGCGCTAAGTGAATATCTGGTCAATGTTTGATTTACCAGGTATACAGCCACACTGATAAGGTCCAATCAGTTTTTTGACAGTGGGCTTTAGTTTTTCACACAAAATGCTCCATAGGACCTTATATGCCTCCTCAGGCTTATCCCACGATAATTGCCGCAGACATTGGGATCTCTCTTTTTATGGATTTAGCAGAGCACACTTAAACTCCAGTCATTGAGAATGCTTTCTACCGAATATATTTTGCAAAGAAGCCGATGTGAACTTGTCTGTTCTTCACCGCCATATTCAAGAGGCTCGGCCAGCAATAGGCAATCGCCGAATTATTTTTCTTCAAGTGAGCGATTGTTATTCGAACTTGTTCACATTGGGGCAATGAAACATTTATTGTACCGTCATCGCTTGGGAAATCAGGCTTGTTATCTCCAGGTGTTGCACTTTCATTGCCATTCAGAGGGCTGGAGAACTGTTTCGTCCATAAATTCAGTGATACCCAGGGTTCAGCCATTTTCCGTGTTCTACAAGAGTCTGCCCCGTTTCGTAGAATTTTCAAGCATTACGTTTGTTGGCCAACTTCCTCGTATCTTCATACTCACGCATTTTGGTCACATTTGGTTTTTGTCTGCAAATGCGTCTTGCTTCCCTCTTCAATGTGTATAAGAAAATCTCCTTAAAATGTATATCACAAATAAATCGCAAATCCGTAAATTATTTATAAAAATATTTAAAAAAAATGGTTGCAAAGAAGAATTCAAAATAAAGTTTAATTATACTTTGAAGCTACTTCTCCGCTAATATTTACTTATCAATTGCCTTTGGCTCACCCTGTACTTTCGTTTCATTAACGAATGGAAAGGTAGGATAGTAATGAAGCACTCAAACAATTAATTGCCCATCGTTGTTTTTATGATTAATGAGTATTCAATAGCAGAATGACACAATTAGTTGACCATGAGAGAACTCATCGCTTATGTATTTGTAAAGAACTTTATTTACTTAAAGCTAAATGTAATATAAAGTATTTTTAAATTGCGTTAAGCAAAATTTTGTTGTTCATCAACCATATCGCAAAAGGTTTTTAGAGATTTTCGGTTTTGGGTGCAAGATCTTGATATATAAAAATGATGTTTGTGTGTTAATGTGGATCTGGGAAGGTTTAGAAATAAAAAAACATAATACTTTTCCTAAGGAAAATTTGGAAAATATGGAAAATTTGGAAAATTCCATAAAGGGTTTTTTTCCTAAAAAAATAAAAAAAAAATTTGTTATTTTTTCTTAGATAAAAAAAATGTTTCTTCTTTCTGATTGGTTTATTCGAACAGTTTTAGTTTGTGGGTGAATTTACCCATAACATCATTTCCATTGGAATTTGTTTCTGTTAGTTCTTCAACTGATTATATTATTATTTAAATCGTTCAATTTCGGTCGCCTGCTTTACATTTCGGCTGTTCAATAGGTAAATTATTGAAAATTATTCAGTGAAAACTTTGTTTCATACAAAGACATTACTTACAGATTGAAATTTGTTACGATGCCACGAAGAGGTCGTGCTAATATCATTCAGCGTTTGCGACGTACATTGGACATAGAGGAAAATGGTACTGTAAGAGAATCTGCTCGAATCGAAATGATTGAATTTTGCGCACGACAATCACTAAAGGTTCACGAAGCTTTCAATGAGCAACAACGATTGAGAAGAAGACAAGTTCGTTCGTGCTCAGGAAATTCATTGAGCAAGAGAACTACTTTTGTCTGCTCAACGGAAACGCCAGCAATAACAACGATTGCCTCCTTCGATTATCGTACGTGAAGCCTTTCGATGTCAGTCGGACATTGAATACATTGCGCACGCATCAGTTCGATGTCTGCCATTTGTCCCCATGCGTTGCACTGAAATTTCCATAAGAACCGGCCGGATTGTGTTGCGCAAGCGGAATAGTGAAATTATGAACGTAATTACCATCCTACGCTGAGAAGAGAAAACAAAGAATGTTGTTCATCATATTTACGTTGGAAAAAATTTAAAAAAATCGTAAATAAATGATTTTTTAACAATATAAATTTAACTTTCTTTAACTTTCTTTAATTTTATTTTATTTTTGTTTCTTTCTTTTCTTTTTTTCTTTTTCTATCTTTTCATTTTTTCTTTTTTTTATTTTTCTTTCTTTTCTTTTTTCTTTTTTTCCTCTTCTCTTTTTTTGTTTCCTTTTTTCCTTCTCTTTTCTTTTGATCTCTTCTCTACTTTTTTATTTTCTTTTCATTTCCTTACTTTTCTTTTCTTTCCTTTTTTTTCCTTTTTTTCTTATATTTTCTTTTCTTTTCTTTTCTTTTCTTTTCTTTTCTTCATTTTTCTTTCCTTTTCTTTCCTTCTTTTTTCTTTACTTTTCTTTTATTTTCTTTTCTTTTCTTTTCTTTTCTTTTCTTTTCTTTTCTTTTCTTTTCTTTTCTCTTCTTTTCTTTCCTTTTATTTGAGTTGAGCAAAGGGGGAATGTCGAAGGAGTCTCGAAGTGCTCAGACTGCTCCACATCTGGATAATTAGAGCACATGTAAGCTGTTAAAAAAGCTCTGAAATACACACATATAAATTCTGCATATTCCTAGAATAGTTGCTATCCATTTGTGTCAGTCATCAATTACTGTTATCTATGAACATTATATCTCGAATACTCGTTTTCCTTTTCCCACAGCCATTTTGCCAAAAATTTTCCCTTGACTATCAATATATTTACTTGTGCATGTATGTGTACATATATAAATGAATTCGTAGAAATTACTCAAACACACACTTCCCCTCTATCCAGACACGTTTCTACCAATTTCAAGGTCAACAGGAGTGAACGCTAAATGTCAGGCATTTGACGCAGCCTTAAAGCGGATTATTCGGGTGGCTGTGCTGTCCATGCCAATAAAATGTAAACCTGAAAACCGTATTTAAGTACAAACATATACACTCAAACATTGATGTGTGTAGTGATACAGATGCTGTTGGCCTGGTTTTGGCAAATACATATAAGCAACATACCGAAATGTTTGTACGAGTAATGTAGTAAAATGATGAATTGAAGTATTTAAATGCAGAGAAAAAAGCATAGAATTTTTTTTATTTTGTGTTTGTTTTTTATTTTGGAATTTGCTCCCACAGTTGGCGTCTACTGGTCTTCTGTGAATACGTACTATTTGCGGCTTACAGGTGTTGTAGAAAAGAGGATTTGAGTAGAATTTATTTTGTATTTCTTTACTTATTTTATTTTGTGGCCCCAATAAAAGTCTCTTGGTATTTAAATTTTATGAATGTATATGTAAATACATATAAAATACTTTGCATACGATA